TGAAAACTTACATTTGGTAATCTCGAATCATGTAAGAAACTATGATGAAATCGATGATAAAATTAGATATTTACATATATTAGCTAATATTCAGTAGTGTAGAGATATTAGTTATTGGGAGCAGGAAATGTGAACACTGACAAGCCTTCGTCGTGAATGGAACCATGACCCTGTAATCGCTTTCCAGCATGCAGACCACACACCACGAAAGCATGCAGGAGGCGCGAGAAATCTTACATAACCTCTTTTAAAAGGCACTAGGTTTTAGAGACCTATCTCCAATCCTTGGTTGGAGATATCATCCAGCATCCTTGTAGTCGGCACACTGTACATACATTAGTATTTTTGGAAGCGCAGATGTGAAAACGAGCAAAGCCGTGCGGCAAATCGATCACGGACCTCTGGATACGCTCCCAGGGTGCAGACCACCACACCACGAAGGCATTCTAAAGACGGAGAATACCTTATAAGTTTTGTGAATATACATGATTTATAAACAAGGTGTTTTAACACTATTTAAATAAATAATTTTTTCTTTTGCTTATTCTTCAAATTTTATATTATAACGTGTAATTATACTTACTATTATTTATTTTTTTAACAAATAAAATTGTAATAATTTTTCGCTGATCGTCTTAATTTTTCTTCCTTTCTCCCTCCTTTTTTCCTATTTAATTTAAAACGGCCCATTTGTTAATCTTATTAGCAACTAATACACATAAGTTATACAGTTTTTGATATATATATATATATATATATATCAATTACAAATTTCTTTTTACAATGAAAATTGTTATCAGAATTCAAGTCCCGTTAAAATTTTAACATTTAAATTCAAGTTACTTTGAAACAATTTCGAAACTTAACTTATATAGGATTATCTTTTAAGTTTCACTAAAATTAATCTAGCTATAAATATTTTTTAGTAAATATATATATATATATAATATATATATACACATATCTGATGTTGGTAATTTTAATCTTTTCTTTGAAAATCCAAGTAGATGTAGTGTTCAAATCGATTATTATTGATTATATTAAGGATATTTCCACGTATTTATTATCAGTGGACTTTTTCCATGAGCATATATTAGGTTGACTTCTTCGTGAGCATATTTCTAAGTGAGCATTTTTCCATGTGAGCTTTTTTCTCTGTGGGCATATTTCTGTGTGGGCCTTTTTTCCTGTGAGCACTTATACCTGTGAGCATTATTCTGTGAGCATTTTTCCTGTGGGATTTCTTCCTGTGGGCATTTTTCCGGTCACCCTATTTTAAATATACTATGCGATCATAATGATACAGATACTTTTAAAATAAAGTTACATGCATGTATATGCCTTTACAGTATCAATTAAAATAAAGTGGAGCCTTCTTTGGTTACGTACACAGAAATGCTATCCATTAGAAGCACGCATTTAGGAAGGTTATCCATATATGTTTGGTCAATTGTTACTGGGATATCACTATTTTTGTTGAAAAGTTATAATAAGTTCTGTACGAAATTTTAGGCATTGTTGCCAAGCTCGCAAACAGTATTCCAACTTATCACAAGGCTACTAAATGGGATTAAAATTGACACTCTGAGTCTACCTCCATAGCATCCATATCAGAAAACCTTCTGATAAGAGCAGATGCACTATAGCTTGGAACCTGGTCACGTTGAAATAGAAAAGCTCCTCACGAACATGTTTCCACAGCATCGAATGCGTTAAACTGATCTAAATATCAGATTAATTGGTCAGATTGTTATTAATTATCAGATTGTAAAATTGTTCTAAAATATCAGATTGGTGGTCTATATTTGAATTTCCTTTCATTTGAGCTAGAGACTCAAGGGAAACCAAAAGAAAAAAAACCACATCATAAAAATATCCACTCCATACTTGACTTGAAGAATACCAAACCTTGTATATGTTGTTCATTTCGCTCTCCACACATTGACACAAGTGTCGGCCTTCCATTCAGTGTTTTTCGCTCCATAGGACATACTGCCATTGTCCCAACTAGGTCTGTCTCTTTGAATTGCCACTGTGCTGAAAGTTTCTGCGAAAGCATTACGCAATTTTTTTCGAAAGATTTCAGCTGATTCTTTACGATTTAGCTTCTCTTCTATAATAAAAGCTTTGCATCTGCTGCGTATCAAACTACTTAGTTATTCTGACACGGTTTAATTCAAGTAACGCCTCATCTTTCACGATCGCATAATGCTGTTCGTCGTTTAATGTGCATCTTTATTGACGGCATTTCAAGAATGGATTTTCCGCAGTGAAAATTATCAATTGGCGCACCAGAGGTCAAGCGGTAAAAATCGCTGAACACTGGTAGTTCGGTCAGGGGTTCGAGTACTGGCGAACGGGCTGGTTGCATTGACGATTTCGTGATTTTCCCTATGTGTAACATGGATATGAGTCAGTTTCCATTAAAAAGAGCTACACGGGGCATCCCTCCCTTTCCGTGTAGTGCCTAAGGGCGGATCACGTAATAAGTAAAAAAGGTAGCCAATTATTTTTCTTCTTTCAAATTCACTGAGCTAACATTTCTAATCTATTTTGCTATTAAAATCGCTGACTACGAACTTCTTCTTTTAATGCCTGATCAGCGTTTACTATTATTTATTTATTTATTTATTTATTTATTTTTGCCAATTAGAAAGTTCTACTTCTCAGGATACCTGGATTCTTTTGATAAAATAATGAATTTTAAATCACCGCTCTTTGAAGATACCAATTATTTAATATAAAAAAAGACTTAATTTTCGATTATTTATTTTATATCCAGCGTTTAGAAAAAAGCTCTAACGTAGCCTTTTTTGTGGAACGAATGGCACCACTATGTGACTATTAGGCATGTCTCTATTGAAAGAGACATGCGAAATCTGCTCAAATTAAAGTACTTCTAACAGATATTTAAGGAAATTATAAAAACGATAAATGTAGATGAATAAAATATTAAATCAAAAATAATAAATACCGGAAAACAATACTTAAAGACTTTCTACCTTATTTGTCACTCAGTAAGCTTTCTTTTAATATGATTCAAATATTATCGTTTTAAAAACCAAAATCATTATATGAAATTTGAAATGATTTTCTAATCTTTTGAAAATATGAATGATTAATATTTTAATCATAAATGTAATACTGAATGAGGTTTTTAAAAATTTATTAAAAATTCATTTTATTTGAAATTGGATTACTTATTTATTTGAGAAATAAATGTATAAATATCTTCAATTATTATTAATAGGCTGTTAAAATTTTCGAACTCGTTTTACAGCCACAAAAGTCAAAAGATTTCAAAATATGGTTTATTTAAACTTGCGATTTAAAAAGGCGATTAAATTAATTGGCGAATTAAATTTAAAAAGGCGATTTTTATATTGAACTCATAGGCAGCAGCCGAGCGCTAAAGTCGCTGAACACTGGTAGTTCGGTCCGATGTTCGAATCACGCGAACGGGACGGCTGAATGGGCGTTTTCGTGATTTTCCCCATGTGTAACGTGTATATGAGCCAGTTTCTCTTAGAAAATCCTCCACGAAGGCATCCCTCATCTTAGGCAGGTAGCTCTTGTGTGATTTGCCATAATTAAATACACCACTACCATAGTGATAGGAATCATTAATACAATTTTACCTAATCTTATATTGCTTTACGATTACTTCTAGATATTTTACCCCGGAGCTTAGTGAAGCCGTTATTAATCAATTTCTTTAAGGATCTAATTACAGAATTAATTAATTGAATATCGCAATCTAAGCTTCAAATAAATGGAACGTAATTACCGTTTGTTTATAATTTTTCAATTAAAAGTAATTTTGTGGATAATGGTTGAGCTATTTAGTCGCAAAGCCTATAAATGTAGTCTTCAACAATTAGTTTTAAATCAGTCTACTCTAAATCTAGTATTAACAGCACTCCCGCAGCGGTTCTCCATTTTAATGCATGAGCTCTTCAAACAATTATAGTTAACTATGCGAAAACATGAGGTTATAATCTTTGCTCTTTCACGAACACTCAGTTTACGAAACTAGCTTAAATTAGGGAGAACAAATTAGTAAAATGTTATAATTAGCACTTTGGCTACATGTCCCGGCATATAATTACATTTAAAGAGCAAAGCATGCAAGCACCTTATTAATGTGCATGCAAAATAAGTGAGAGAATTTAAATGCATAATAAATTATTTAAACGTTCCTCTTTTACATGCAAATGTTCCTCTTTTACATTTCAGAGATCTCAACAGCGTTGTCAAATACGACGAATCTTTATTTACTAGAATGCTGAAAATTAACCTTTCAGTGAGTTAATTTATATGTATTTGCTTTGCTTTCGTTAAAGTTTTTAGTGGATTATTAATAACGCATTATTTCTCCTGGACTACATGTAAATGTATAATTTTTATTATCCGGCAAATAATGAAACAATTAACATTTATTTAGAATTCTAGAATTCTAGTGATCTCTTTTGCTATTAAAATTTCTGTTTGATTTCAAAAAGCTTTCTTTAGCTCTCAGTTGAAATTTTTGTTTTTCTGTAAATCATTAATCTTGGATTTTTAGCAAATTATTATGTTTTATTTCTAGTTTTTATAGAAAAGCACACATCACCTTGCAAGTTTAAGCTGTCGCTTCCTTTTTCATTCTCGAAAACGACGATTTGGATTAGATATTGGACTCTCACCATAAGCTAGCTAAAATAGAGCCATTATAGCTGTCTGAACATTTTGAAAGCACAAAAGGCCAGGTTTTGAAGAAACAAAATAACTATTTTAGAAGCTAGTATAAGTCGTTTGTTATGATCGAAATAGCAACTTATGTAAAATATTGCACTTCCTTCCATTACTTGAAGTAAAAAATTGAATAACCAAAGCAGTATTTATGGAACAGTTATTTTATTTCATTAATACGATTCCTTATAATTTTGATGCTGTTTAAATAAATATTCAAGCTGATTTTAAATGTAAACTTTTATAAGCAGTCATGTTAAATAGATTCGAACAAAAATCTTTGCTGAACATTACCATGGCTCCTCATCTGGCGATAGCAAGTTTCTTTTTTTTATAGCGGTAAAAAACATTTGCCATTCGTTTTAGATTTATACAGTATGCAAAACGAATATAGTCATTTCGTTTCATTTCTAAATTGCTATAGCAGTGTAGTATAATATTATTCGTTAAATAGATAGAAAGACCAATACGCTGCATTTAATATCAGAAATAAAAGAGGAAAGGTAATTCTGGAAAACTTGTCGACTCTTAGCGCCCATTCTTGCTTGTGACTTAGTCGACCTGCAGTTGAAGATGTTCGATATTCGGTACCATTAGACAACTGATCTCTTTCTTCAGCACTCTACAAAATAAAAAAGATAGTCACCAGATTTATGGCGATAGCAATTTTTTTAATATTTTTCAAATATTATAATATTACACACAAAAATCATCACATAAGCAGTACTTGAAATAATTTCGTTACCTTTTGCAAAAAGTAAGTAATAATATACATTTGAATTTACTCAATGGTTATATCTATTACGGGCGTGCAAATATTTGTGTTTTAATTATAGAAACATATTTAACTTTTGAAACATTCCTTTAAAAGTTATTATGATATGATAGATAGAGTCAGTTACTTAAGAAATGGCACCTCAAAGTAATCTTCGTCTTATCGGCGTGCCTCGTAACCAATGTAACCAAAGCTACGGAAGAGAGTTGAGTCCCCTATTTTTTCTACTTTTAACATGTTTTGCTAATTTAATAAGTCCCCTATTTTTTCTACTTTTAACATGTTTTGCTAATTTAATAAGTCCCCTATTTTTTCTACTTTTAACATTTTTTCTACTTTTAACTGTTCCCATTTTACATGTTTTGCTTTTTGAAAAAGCGTTCAAATGAAGGCTAACTTGAGTTACATTCGCAAACAGATAAGTACTGTGCTGTGATACCCATTATGATCATAAATGATGGCGGTTAACCAAAACCTTGAGATGCTTATTTTAAAGTAACAGACAATGGCATGTTATTTTTCGTGGTTTAAACATAAAGTCTAATCACAGTTCTAAATAGTAGCCTGCAAGTAAATTACAATTCTGATTACAACTATAATCCAAAGAAATAAAATTTCTAAATTATTTAAAATGTTACTTATAAATTGAAATATATTGAATATTGACCCAACATTTAACAATTTTTTTTGTGTGGAAAAAGGCATTTCCAGTGAAAGGCTCAGGTATTCGTTGATAATGTGATTCTCTGACAGTACGTCTACAAAGATTTAAGAGTAACTCTTAACTAACTGAAGGTCGAAAATCCTGCCAAAAAATAATTAACCGATTTTATGAGTTCTCGTCTTATAGTCTGCTTATCACAATTAAAGCTCTCGCCTTTTAGCCTGCAGCTGTCTGTTGCTTTAGAAATGAGCTTTGACCCATTTTCCGTAGGGGTGCCTTGAAGATTTACTTTTGAGTTTGCCATCTTGGCGCATTTAAAGATGAATTGGCAACCCTTGTTTCGCCCCTATTCGAAATATACTATCACTTTTGCTATAGCGCCCGCCCCCCCCCAGACACTGTGACGGGAGCTTTTCTTCTATTAGACAGACAGCACTTCCTATAAATTATAATTTGCGTCACACAAAGCATCGTATGAGATTTCTCTGCAGTTAATCGAGAATTTTGATTTACTTTATATAATGTATATGAATTCGAAAGCTGAGTAAACAGCAGCAATGATATTGATGATTTCTCAATGGATACTACGGATGTCGCGGACGGATGAGTACACGAAAAAAATTTACAATTACTTCAGACAATCCTCACTTATCTCTTCGAATGGCATAAGCTTGGAACAGTGCATTCAAAGCCAGCTTTGCACTTCATGATTTGACGAAACGGGAATCATCTGTTTGTATTGTAGAAGGTTCACCATGGACGCAAGAAATTCGATTTCAGAAGTCTAAATGAGATCTTATTAGCGACAACATTGATTGAAAAGGGATAATTCACAAGAAATGTGTTCCTGGGTTACAGACGGTGAATACCACAATTTATAAAGACATAATAAACAGACCTGAGACAAATTAAACTCATTAGGCTTGAAAAGTTTCAATTGAAAGACAAATACCTGCTTCACAACGTGGCTCAGTCACATAAGTATAATCTTGACAAGTAGATTTTGGCAAAAAGAAAAGCGTTATAATGTTCAGGTATTTTCTTTATTCACCAAGTTTGGTACCCGGAAGTATATATGATCTTTTTTATACATCAGTTTCACTTCCAATATGTGAAGGAACTGAAGAAAATTAGAGAACCACAAATAAAATTTTAACAGTTATTTAAGAGATGAGTTATGCAAAGTAGCTGTATGGATGTGACATATACATCTTGATATTCTATACACAAAGTTAAGATGTAAGAATACTGTTTTCTTCAGCTTTCGATTTTATATGAACTTACTGTCAAAACTTCATAGACATATGTTCTGTTCTAATCCCTTTTTTAAATAGCCAAAAAACTGGTAGTTCTTTGAAACCATAATAGTATATGTACTGATGATTAAAAGTATCATACTTTAATCATCATAATATCATACTTTAATAAAGAAAAACTCACTAATAATTATATTTATTTCTTACTTTTCTACATTCAAAGGGGGAAAAAGTTAAATTCTGAAGAAGGAAGAATCTTTCTGGAGTAGAACCGTCAAAATTGATTTTAAATGCTTAACTTGATACCCTAACAATTTTACATGAAAGATAAAGTATTTAGTTTGATTCAAGTATAACAAATTTCAGAAGGCAGTTGGTGTTAAAATATATTTATTTAAAGAGCTTTCTGTTTTATTAACACATAGTTTTCCGGATGTAATATTAAATGATGCATATTCCGTTTGTGAAGATAAATTTAACCACATGTATGACATATGTTGCTATTGAAAGTGATATAAAATTCTGTTGTAATCTCAAGCTGATATATAGGGTGATTCTAAAATAAGTGTCAAAAATATAAAAAAGTATTTAAAAAAACTTTTCTAATGAAATATGTGTGAAGCAATGACGCTCTGGCATGGTATAGTGCTTTGTTGAAATTGGCAAGCGAGAGCTCTTCTCTAACGTAAATTTTCATTCTTCCTACACCACCAACCTCTCCAGTGGACTTTCGGCTAACCACATATTTAGAGTGCCCCCATGTCGTACGGAGACTATTCATTTACAAACATTCATGTTTTCTCCGAGATTCGAACTCTGGATCTGATGTTGGAAACTACCGTAAAATACTATAAGTCATTTTCACAAATGCTCTTTCAGATTTAGAAACTTCAGAGAAGTTCCTAATAAAGTATGAAATAAATAATATTTAATTCTTGCCGCAAAATTAATTAAGCAATTTAGGAGGAGAAAGTTTTGAGAAGAACACATATTTAAATATCTTAATGCGTAAACTTAATTTTTATAAATTCCATCATTCTATTCTGTAGTTTTCTTAAACTTTATGAAAGTACACGTACAGATTTCGCATTTTATTGCATACTTCATTGCTTGTTTTAGCGTTTCGGTATTTTAACAAAATGTTCCATTTCAATAAATTATATCTGATACCGTACAATATTTAAAACACATTCATAAATTGTAATTGTGCAACAGAAGCAAGTTTTATTTACCATAACAGTGTTTTCGCAGTTGGGACCTACTTGCACTTTGGTCGTTATAGCTGAGTTTGATACCACCTTTTTTAGGCACGAATCTTCTTGACTACCGTCATCATCAGCGTCTCCCATAAGGATGTTCACGAGGGCATACTCCATAAGTGATGCGAACACGAATACCGTACAGGAAGACATGAAGATATCGATGGCTTTGATGTAAGAAACTGGTGGAAGGGACTTCTGAGATTGGGCGTGTTGTGTTGAAAGTGTGAGCAAGGACGTGACACATAATGTGACGCGTGCAGGGACGGCTTCAGCCCTGATCCAGAAGGATATCCAGGACATGATGACGATGAGACATGTGGGTATGTAAGTATGGAACATATAGTAGCCAAGGCGTCTCTTAAGAGTGAATACAACTTGAATGCATGTGAAGTTACCTATAAAGTAAATTCAAAATTTCAAAATATAAATAAAATTAAGTATGCAGGAAATTAAAAAAGCTTACGTATAATGATACCAACTAAAACATATAGTTTTCGGGGAAAGAGACAAAAAAATCTAATCAACTCGAAATTTGGCATGGAGTGTTTTCTTCCCAAAGTGTGAAACTGGTTGAACGTTCATAACTAAAGTATACTAACTTAGCGCGTAAACAGTCATAGCGCGTTTTTCTACTACACAACTGGCATCTAATAATACAACGGATAGTAAATATTGTCTGATAATTTTGCTCACTTTCAATCTTATAGATTTCTTACTAGACTACTATTATTGTCAGAGACTTTTAAGCAGAAAATAACTGTCTTAAAAGAAGCACAAATAGTCAGGTGGTGGGCTTACTTAGAGTAACATGCCGATATCTGCGTTATATTGGCATAAACATATACAAATGCTGGTAGCAATACCGTTGATACAAGGTACGCGCTGACTTCAAAGGAAAAAGAATTAGAAACAAGATCAGGTGACTGTGTCACAAGCCTAAACTGATCCAGAATAATTCTTGTCACTACAAAACGTACCATGTGTTCTTGCAGACCACCTACCATATTCTCCTTCATGCCGTGACACTTGGCTGAATCAGGATTACGTTCACCAACACAATTTCAGATACGTTTTCAGATCCTCCACAATATCGAAAATTTAGTTTGGATAGTACATCATTTGGGTGATTCGCTGCTGACTTGCATCTCATCTGCGTATGGATGGGGTTTGTCAAGCATACATTATCCTGGAGAGGCAAATGGCAAAACTCCTGGTGTGATGGTATTAGATGATTTCTCTCATGGTAAAAGGTGTATCACAGCTACGGGTAAAAAATCTAAAACTCCAAATACTGCTAAGTTATCTTTTATGTTAAGTCATACTGAGATCATTTCCTAAAAACGAAAAGCTAAGTCTTTTGTAACTCACATATCTCTGGTATATTCCTGAGCTGTTTAAACTCTTCCTTGACCATAAGGGTTCCGAAATCTTCGCCAACTAGAAATGTAAGAGACATGACTTCTTTTCATTAAATATAGGCGCCGCAAAATATCGGAGATCTGAATAGCAGTTCAGGAAAACCTACCGAATAATAGCATTATATGTCTGCATCGTTCTCTACTTCGCATTATAGCAGCATGCATTATGACTAGCGAATATTTCACAAAATTACCATTGTTAGAGTTAAAACGCAAATGCTGGCCATTAATCTGCTCTAAAATCTTAAAGCTGCAATTATTTCATTATATATGTATGCGGTATGCACATACATAGATAATTAAACATTTATTTAAAAATAGAAATTTCCTTCTAGGTGCTTCTTACATCTTTTATTCCAAAAAAGGTTAATTGGCGATGTGAAGATCCTGCTGCAAATTATCTTTTATGATCATTAATGCATTCAGTAAACAACATTATGCGCAGGCAATACATTTGAAACTTTTGCATAAATAATATTATGCTTAAAATCAGTTGCAATTACGCTGCTACATGCCACTTTTCTGTTTTTTGAATGCAATGTTTACACTTCTTTAAAGTTTCTTTCCCCCATGGGACGGGGAAAAGGACAAAGATACTGCCAGGGAGACAAATAATTTGCTTCCATTTACGATTACTTATTGGCTAGTATTATTACTTATTCGCAGTCTTTAAGAATGATTGGATGGCTTATTATCTCTTTTAAGCCACACAAGTTAGCAACAACTGAAATAAATTTTCTTCGTAGAAGGAGACTACTGTGTACAGCCTTTTTGAGCGATTGGTACTTACAAGTTAATGGCACTTTTGTTGTAATCTTAGTAGCAAGATTTCCCTCGGAGTTATCCATGATTGCAGAGTACTTCTCGAAACTGGTGTGTTCTCAAAATTGAATACTTTATTTATGTTCCCAAGATACTGCAAATTGCCTATTTTAGATAGCCACATTAATAATAAAAGCGGGAATACTTTTTAACAGCTTAAATTAAAGATTAACATGCGTTTACCTGCATTAAATTTGGCGTTTGTCTTATTGATTAGAGGTGATAAAGTAATAGTTATTCTGCCAACTGAAATTCGAACGATCATCAATCGTAATCCTATTACAAGGCAAAACCCATTATCAACGGCTAAAAAGTCTAAAAACACAACAAAAAGTTATAGAAGAAAATTTATTTTATTTTCTCATTAAGTAAATTAAAAAAAAAAGATTCAAAGAGAAAATTTAAAAAGTTAGAAAAAAAAAAAAAAAAGTGGAAAAGAATATGATAATTTAATAATAGTAAAAATATATATATATATATATAAGAAGCAAAACAGTAGAGAGATCAGTAAAAATAACTAAAATAACTGGGAAATGTTTTTAAAACGTAATGTTCAGAAACCTTTCATGATATTTAAATTTCTTGTTAGTATTCTTTTAGTCACTTATTTTAGATTACACCAGTCCAATTTTCAAGTGTTTTAATTTTTTAAACTCTTTTCAATCTATTTCCTTCATAGTTTTGTTTCGTTTTTTTCATTGTTTTACGCATTTTTGAACATTTTATATATTCTAGCTTTAAATATTTAGTTTTTGTTGAATAATATTTTACGCTAGCTTCCTCGCCCTAGTTTTGCGTTATGCACTTAATGTTGTCAAGCACAAACTACCTGGAACAGCACTGCACTGTCCTATATTGGGATAAGAAAAAAACAAACAAAACAAAAAAAAAAAAAAAAAAAAAAAAAAAAAAAAAAAAAAAAAACCTCACTGATCAACACAGATTATGATGGGTATTAGAGTTACCGGTACCCTTCAGTTTCTTTCAGTTTCGACAGTTTTTAAACTTAATCTATAGCTCCATAGTGGTTTATGGTACCCCACGTAAGAAAATTGGTATTACTCTTATATACGCCCTCAGATGTACGGCTTCGCCAAATGTGGCGATATGTGTTGTGCGCTGGTTTTTGGCGCGATAGTGTATTTTGTGATGGTTTTTGGCGCGATGTTGTTTGTATGGCAACCCTTTTGACGTTGAAACTTTGCTGGAGTGGTTGGTTTGGTGGGAGTTTTGAAATGGCTCATGTTGCAATGAAAGATGTGGTGGCAAAATTTCAGTCGTGTATTTTCGGTTGTGTGCAAGATAAATTTAGTATTCAAGGGTACGATGTTGGAGTTGTTTGTTGGATGTTGGATTCTTTTTGTTCACGGGTGTGTTTATGCCGAATTTATTCATGAATATATGCTGGACTTTGTATGCTCTGTGTCTCAGAAGATAGGGTGGAAGGATAAAATGGTGAGACTTGATGAGTTTTGAATTTAATATTTCTTCTGTTTGAAGAAGCATGAATAGTGTAGAATGTTATGTTCATTATCATTTTGCTATGAAATTCTGTCGTTATTGTTGTTTTTTGAATTGTTTGTAATTTATTTTAGTTATTTTAGTTTATTTTGTTGATATGTGCGCAATGCTGAGGCTGTGCGCGATGCCTAGATTGTGCAATTCACTGATGTTTTTTAAAAGTTAAAACAGAAAGCTGTGTGCATGGTATTGTCTGAAATTTAATGTTGTTATGTTAGTTTATTTTAGCGAGGCTCCTAGATTCCTACGTTCCATAGATCGTGCAATTCTCTGATTTTTTAAACTTAAAACAGATCGCTGTGTACATGGAATCTTGTGAAATATTTTTTGTTAGAAACCTTGCGTTTTTGCTATCTAATTATTTTGTTTTTGTTTCGGATTTTTGGCGTAAATTGTGTGTTAAAAACGTGGTTTTTGCAGATACTTTAGGCTTAAAGTTCAAAATGTAGACAAAAAATTTAGATAGCAATATGGCGCCATGGAGTTTCTCGCCAAAATTATTTGGCAAGAAATTTGTCGCCAACTGAGGGCGTGTATAAGTGTAGTTCCAGAAAATTATATTAAGATATTTTAATCATAAACTGATCCCACAATAACTGAAATAAAGATTCAAATCAAATTCATCTTGTAGTATCTAATTAACCTCAAATTATATAACAGATAAGCTTAAACTTATCCACGTAACAGTGGAAAAAATGTAATATCTTCCGATGTGAAATCAACGTTTGTTGAGAACATTACTATTGTGGTAGGGATTTGGATATCTATTGAGACCCAAAAAACCCATGTCAATATATGATACAAATTATATGATGACAAACGCGAAATCATCATTGAAGAACAGGAGACAGCAGGAAGCAGTCTTGAAACATCACACAAGTGATTAATTATTTTTAGACAAAATTCTAGTACAATTTTTTAAGACTTTAAGAGTCGAAAAGAAAACTGTTCAGATATTTTTTAGTCGAAATACACGATTTTTTGAATTCCCGAGCTTCCTCTGCCTCGTGTCCCAAAGTAAAATAATGGCTAAAGAAGTGTGCAGCCACCTGCATTTACGGAGTTTTTTTTTTTTTTTTTTTTTTTCATCCGAGCATGGTGTATCATGAGAAACTGTCGTGGTCGACATATATTATTCATGTTCATATATTAAGCAAAAAATTATTGACCGAAGATGAACGAAAACTTGGCATTCAAAACCGTGACACCGAACTGAGAAAGAAAAAATTGCCAAACATCTTTCGCCGCCTCTATTCAAGATATTTACAGCCTCCTTAGAGGCTTCCATTGCCACACGATCGAACTGAATCTTGCAGTGAAAAATGTGAGGCCTTGCCTTTACAACACTACAGTGATCTCCAATTACAAACATCCTATAGATCACTTATGACAAACAGCCTTGTCGGGCATCGATATCATTCGATTCAAGTTATAATGCTAGCTACGTTTAGAGCTGGCCACATATGACTTCCATCCTATATGATGCTTGCTAGGTTCTCAAACTGACCCTCTTTCCAATATAATCGCTAAACAAGTCGTTACGATCATGTTCGGTTTAATTTGCGTTAATAATCTACCTAAATAATATGTAATAATTTTAAATATATATAATTTGTGATATATCCAACTTATGAGCATGTTCAAATTTCAAGTGTTATTTTATAAATAAATGATGTTCTTAACACATATATTTTGCAGTTGAGTCAGAAATGTTGATATTGTACAATATTTAATAAGTGTTTTTTCGTATTTTACTATTTGGATAAGTTGCCGAATTTCAAGAATAATTTCCTTTTATAGTTGAATTTTAGAGACTTTAAGAGTCATCAAGATGAAAATTTCAAATTTTTAGAAAAAGCAGTATATTTTTATAGAAAATTATATTTTGGAAGGTCTAGTCAGAGCATGTTGAAAAGAGGAGTGATTATTCTAAGCGTTTATTTAAGTAGCTCATAATGTTTCACTGTGGATGGAATTTTACCAGCGTTGTTTATGTTGCATTGTTTTATCATCGTTTTATATGTTGCAACGCGTTTTTACAAAATTCGATTTAGATTTTTATTACGTAATGTTTAAACGATTTTTATACATACCTTTGTTTAACGAATAAACTAAGCACATCAGAATTTTACTGCTTGCATTGCCGAAAAGAGCAGACAACAATTTTCATTGAAACATACATGCAGTTGTAACTCAATTTCTGAATATTTCGCAAACTTGAAAATAACTGGAGTTTTTAGTCTATTTGACGGATATGATTATAAACTGTTAACATCTAAAAATGTATCGGATATAAAGTTTTAGAATTTTCGGAAATAATAAAATATTTTTTTCGCTAAAAAGTATTAATTGATCGAATTTCTACTTTGGGAACATCTGTTGCAGATAGGATAAAAAAGCATTCCTCGAGGAAAAACTGCGTCTGAATTTGCCATCTTTGCGCATATAATGGCGAAATTTGTCATATTAACGCACTTAATGATGATCTAACGAAATTACGTTTTTCATTTTAGTTTCAAATCAATTGCTCATTAAGTAACATTGCTATTACATGTAATTTCCGAAGCTGAATTTCTTCATTCTCTAAATAACGTTCAGTTAATTTTCTTTATTTCATAATTTTCTTAAAATCAATTTCTTGTTTTTTAATGGTGAATAAAAACTTCATCATTGATAATATGTAATTTAAACTAAAAAACAGAAAATAAAACGAAATTTTAAAAAACGTTTCTATACGCTAAGCTTTTATTTAAAATGGATATGATAATTAATCTTCTAAAATAAAAAAAAAATATCATATATTTTAAAGAGAATAATTATATTTACAAGATTCTTCTAGAATCTTATATAGCGAATAATAAAAGCGTAGTGTGCTCATAATAAATTTTAAAAAGATAATAACTGGTACATTTCACAATGCAATTAAATGAACATAAATACGACAGCCGGCAACAGCGTCAAAAAAAAAAAAAAATAAAACAACCTCAGAAACTTTTTGGACAATGCGCTCGAAATATGAAAGTGAATATTGAAAAATTGTAAAGTATGTGAACATGAGAACGGAAATTAATTTTTTTTTTTCCCCGGAAACAATTTTCTTGAAGAAAAGTAAATCAACGTTAGTAACTACTGCATTATTTATAATATACAAAGGAAAGAGTATTTTTTTCTCCTTTAACACACAAGAATAAAAATATATTTCTCAATTTAACTATATAAAGGCTGTCAGAAATTAAAATCATTTTACAATTATTAAGAAACATAGAAACAAGACAAGCTGAACGCTTAGAGCAGATATAACTGATGCAGTTGAACATGTATATAAATACACTTGTAGCTTTGCCATTACAATTCGATGGGTTCCAACATTAATGCGATTAATGTTCTGCACATCTGTGACATCTTAGCGTAGAACGAAAGAGGAGATTATATTACAATTTTCTTTACTTAAAACTAATCACGTTCAGAAAAAAAAAATGCTTCAGGCTCTAAACTGCATTATGGTATAGTTTAAGCATTTTCTCTTCCTCCATTTATTATATTTTCATTGTATTAAAAGAAGACTTTATGTTAGTTTTCTAAAAAAAATTGGAAAAACGTTTTTCATTCACAAGGATACAAAATCAGTAAGATCACAATGGCATCCTGGGTAAACGAGATTCCATTTCCTTCGAAACGACATCTTAGTTTCAGCCATGTTTTGACCAAGATTCTGATATCTTTCCTAACGTTCATCTCCGATGTACGGGATTTCTGTGTTCGCTGATTCCCGGCTTTAGAACAATGCAGTTAAT